TCCTTTTATTGATTCACTGTCAATGTCCCATATAGTTTATATGTTAGAATAACAAACATTAGGAGGAAATAGCAGAAACCACCAAACTCCTTCTAAAGTTATAGATTAGGAACTCTGATGTGGAGAGCCCAAAGCTTAAATAATGCTTAGTAGTTCTTCAAGCTATTTCAGTATAAACCCATATATTGAATGATAAATGTCCCTGATGTCATCTACCTAAAGAACTAAACACATACTTCTTATTGCTGGGGGAAGAGCACTGCAGTCGGATGCTTTTTCACTTGAGTAATAGGCTACTCAGTCTTTGTTTCTAGCCGGTACTTTCAACTGGCAATAAGACAGTTCTGCATCTCTAAAGAAGGCTAGCTCCTTACTGAATAATACCTGGGACCTAGACTCAAATAGATAAGCCTTTTCTATTTTCCCTTCTTTTTCAGCAATCTGTAAAACTTCACCATCTAGTTGAGTCACATAATAGCATTACAGTCTCTGTATGTGGGAGAAAAGGTAAGTTCCATTATTTTAGAACTATGTGCTATCCATGTGGAATCAGAAGAGGATTTGAATTTATATTTCTGATTGTTCCTGCTACTCCCATCTCCATATGCATCTTTTCTTGTGCATTTGCTTAAAGGGATGAGGAACTTTAGGTCTTTTCACCCTAAAATACCACGTTTGTGAGGTAGAATTAATGTAATAGACTGTACATATTTACAGGGACCATTTGATAAATTTGACATATGTATACACCCATGAAACCATTCTCATTATCAAGATAATGACCACCCATCACTCCCCAAAAGTTGCTTTGTGCCTGCCTGCAATCCTTGCCTACTCCACCACTTCCCCATCTTCAGGTAATCCCTTATCTGCTTTCTGTCACTGTATATTAACTTCCAGGTTTAGAATTTCATATAAACAGTATTGTACAGTATGCATTTGGGGGTCTTTTATAACATATTTTGGGTTAATTTTGGGAGGGATCAAAGTTGATAATTATTTTGAAATTCATCCATTTTGTTAAGTGTATCAATAGTTCATTCCTTTTTATTCCTGATTGTATCCCATTGTATGGCTTTACCAGTTTGTTCATCCATTCACCTGTTGATGGACATTTGAGTTCCAGTGTTTGGCTACTATCAATAACGTTTCTCTGAACATTTGGGTACAGGTCTTTGTATGGACATGCACTTTCATTTCTTACGGGAAAAGACCTAACCATGGAAAGGCCAGGTCATGCGGTAGATAGACGAGCAGCACTTTAAGAAACCTCCAAAGTGTTTTCCAAAGTGGTGGAACCTTTTCACATTCCACCGGCAGTATTTGGGAGTTTCAGTTGCTCCACATTCTTGCCATTACTTGGTATGGTCAGTGTTTTTATTTCATTTTAGCCACTTTAATATGTGGTAGTATCTCATTGTTTTAAATTCGCATTTCCCTAATGACTAAGGACATTGAGCATCTTTTCAAGTGCTTATTTGCACTTGTATATTTTTTTGGTGAAATATCTGTTCAAATCTTTTGTTTATAAGGTTGTTTTCTTATTATTAAATTTGACAGTTCTTTGTACATTCTGTATATAAGCTCTTTGCCATACAAATGATTTGCAAAAATTTTCTCTCAGTCTATTAATTATCTTTCCACTCTCTGTACAATGTCTTTCAAAGGGCAGATAGTTTCACTTCTGTTAAAGTATAGTTTATCAGTTTTTTCTTTTGTAGATCATACTTTTGATGCCATATCTAACACATCTTTGCCTAATCCAAGGTCGCCAAGATTTTCTACATTGTCTTCAAGTTTTTAGAATTTTAGGTTTTACATTTAGTTCTATATTGTATTTTGAATTTTTGTTTTTTGTTTTTGATTTTT